GTTTGAGGTGGTTTGGAAAGAAAAGGGGTATGTGAAATGGTCTTTTATGGTAATAAGCCCGGACTCGGTTCTTAACTTTTAGGTTTTTTTGGACTTGAACCTAAACATTCTTACAAGTCCGGATCCAAGTCCAGTGAACCGGTACACGGCACTACTCCCCATAAAAAAGTGGGCCTTTCCAATAACAATCCCCCCAGCCCTATGTTGAAGAGGGATGACAGACAAAGTGTGGGAGGGATATTTTTTGTTTGCCGCCTTGTCAACAGCAGGCATTAGGCCATGGACTGTGCAGCCCTGGATGGCTGCACTTTGGGCACAGTCTGTCGTATGGCCCGTATCGATGTCTGCTCCAGTTTATGTTTTTCCTCACTCTCCCAGGCCATTATATACTGGATGCAAATTTTTGGTTGCCACATTAGGCCACACCAATTCAATTTGTTGGTTCTCGGATTCGTCTCTTCGTTTTTTTCTCATTTGCAAAAAAAAAAAAAGATTCTGGTTCTGAATCAACTCAAAAATGTGTGTATATTTTACCCCCAACAGTTAAGGAAAGTCAATTTCTTCCTAGTTGTTACAGTTTTTCCATCTATCAATGCAGTGGTTTGATTAAAAGTTTAAAATTCATTGTTTAAATCTTGACCCAGCCTTTTGTGTTGACTTAATGGTTTTTATTGTAGCATTTTGGGCTATAATAGGATGCCTAGACCTGTTTTTATTTTTTCACCCCGTCGCTTCATATTTTTTCTGAAAAAAATCTGAGAACCAACAAATTAAATAGGTGTGGCCTTAGAGAGGGATGTGTTCGCATGTTTAGGCTCCAACCATTGCAGAAGGGGTCATATTCTTCAGATGTTAATTGATATGAGCACCCAAGTGGTATCAAATATCTGAACGTTTGTTTGGATAGTTGTCACCTACCATTGAGGCTGAACCTGCAAAGTTTGGTACCAGTAAAGTACTGGAACCAAAAGCTAAAACATGTATATGATCTTATGAAAATTATAATTAGGCCACCCAAATTTAAATTGTTGGTTCTCGGATTTTTTCAGAAAAAAATGAAGCGACAGGGCGAAAAAAAAAGAAATAAAAACAGGTCTAGGCATCCTATTATAGCCCGAAATTCTACAATAGGAGCCATGAAGTCAACACAAAAGGCTGGGTTAAAATTCAAACAATGAATTTTGAACTTTTAATCAAACCACTGCATTGATAGATGGAAAAACTGTAACAACTAGGAAGAAAAGGACTTTCCTCAACTGTTGGGGGCAAAATATGAGCATTTTGAGTAGATTCAGAACCAGAATTTTTTTTCTTTTGCAAATCAGAGAAATGAAGAGGCAAATTCGAGAACCAACAAATTAAATTGGTGTGGCCTTATCATAGATCTAGTCATTTCTAAAAAAAAACTTTTTCGGAATTTCAGCACATGGACATTTTTTTATGATGCCTATTTAATTTTGGGTTTTGTTATTTTTTTCTTTAACTGTGACACACCCAATCTAGCCTAAACTTTTCCCATAAAAACAATAAGATACACCTCATTTATTTTACTAGCAAAGGTGTACCCAAAAATCACCCATGTGTTTCTAGTAATTACAGCTTACGAATGTCATTTTCTATACATGAACAAGACTAAAAATCAAATCTTATAGATTGAGATTGTAAACAAAAGTCACATTGTTACAAAGTCACTATGCACTAGGAGTAACATTTGATAGAATTTATTAAAAGGAATAAAGAGAAAATGTCATTTTTGAGGCCCAATTTACACAATGTACATTGACGTCATACATTGTATAGCACACACCTAGATGGCATTTAAAATATCACAATAGGCACTGCCCAGAATACACCTATTGTATCTTAAAAGTTCACACAGAGGTTGGGTTGTACATTTGGTTTAAAAGTCATGGCTACATTATATTATCATGAAAGTTCATCTGTGTTGGTAGTTACATGTTCAGAGTTCAACTTTTTTGTGTTGGATTGAAAGTTTGAACTCTCAACAAGGCTACATTATGTTTTTCCACTCTCCAAGCAGAGTTTTTTTTTCTTATTTTTGGCGTGTTTTTAGGCTTTTTATCTGGGTTTCTTTAATTTTCTTGCACTGACATTTTTTTCACACATCTTTTCCCCTTTCCTACTACAAGGCACCACTTGAGTCTGTCAATATGCAGTAATGTGTATTTCCTTTACAATTCCAGGGGCATTTCCTTATGTTTTCCCAGCCTCTGCTCAAGAACTGGTGATTCACTCACTAGATCTAGTTTGTCATCTGTATGTTGTTTCCCCATGCTTGGGGGCAATGCCCTTTTCCGTAGAGCGTAATCAGCCATTTTACTTCTATGTAGAGCGTAGACAGACCGTAGCCTCTTCCAGGCTTCGGGAGGCGGCTGGAAAGAGTAGAAATTGGCCAAGTAGAGAGATAGCATGCCTAGGGAGTTGGAACAGTTTACCGCTCCCTTGGCATGTTAGCTCTCTATTTGGCAGATTTCTACTCTTTCCAGCAATCTCCCGAAGCCTGGTAGAGGCTAGACAGACCGTTCTAATTCAACGTAGAGTGTAAGTGGCGCATTTTGCGTAGAGCGTAATTCGCCGTCTTGTTTCTGCGTAATGTGTTGTAGCTACCCGGAATTTATCGTGAACCGTAATAGGGAGGCTTCCCAAAGTCAGCGTGATATGTAGCTGACTCTCAAAATCTAGTGTAAAGCATTGTCGGGACCCCCCCCCATGCAGGCCCTCGTGCTTGTGCCTCAGATGTTGTGAGTATATTCCCCTGACAGTCAGAGACCTTTCCACACTCCACTCTCCCCTGTGCATCTGTTTCCTGCAACTGTTGGCACCCAAATATGCAGGGGGCGGCTGGACTAGTCACCCAGCCAACTTTCTGCCTTCTGTCTTCCACACTGGACAGATGTGCTGTAGTCTTTCTAAAGTTGATGTTGAATAGTATCTTCTAAGGCCACAGCAAGTAAATTTTATGGATGACATCCTCCACAGACTCCAAATCTAATGCGAGCAGGTGGAAAGAAAACAAGACTGGCCGAAAAAAACAAGGTTCCTACATTTTAAAATTTTGACTCAATCATTGTACAAATGGTTTTGATTCAGTGGGAACATCACATACATGTATACACAGACAACATCACATATTACAATACTGCATCAAAGTAAGAAACAAAACATTAAATCAGAGCCTTTTCTTGTCTCTTTTCATAGTTATCCACCTTCCGGCATGGTAACAGACATCTTTGCCCATTTTCAGCATGGTAACCACTGTCAGAAGGCAACAAAATGTTTTTTATTTTTCAAAATCAGGCAAAAAATTAATGTCATCCTTAAAAATTACTTGCTGTGGCCTAACTGGTAGGTTCAGAACAGGAAATAGCATAACTGGAAGTTCTTCTGCAATACCAAAGAAAGCTGCCAGGGAGTTCTAAGTTTAATAATTTCTTTGATATGTGAAGACCTAAATACAGACCAAGTTTCATGTTAATTCATCCATAGTTTCTTTAGTTATCGTGCTAAACCACATACATATGATACATACACACAAACAACCACTACCAAAATTATAACTTAAGACTTAAGTAATAAAGACCACAATATATTATTTCTAAAATGATCGAAAGCAAAATGTTGTAAGCTTAGACTAACTTAGAGAGTACTTATTCATAGGATGAAGTGTCGTTTTGTATGCATTAGGTCAAAAGTCAGTGCTTGGCACCTCTTGCAACCAGGTCATTGCCAAATGGAGCATTTAACCGTGACCGACCCAAAGGTCTATTGAAGAGACCTTGTTTACAACTTGGTTTGCCAATAGGAGTGGTTGAAAAAGCCTTGTTTCTTTTCATTATGCAGCATTCAGGGTGTAACTCAGTAGGTAAATTGTCCGCGGCACTCCTACAAGTCGTTGCTGTTTTTACACGTACATTTTTGCCACAAACAATTCAACTTTAAAACGGTTCACAAAGTCTAACAAAAATCTTGGTCGATTTTTGTACCAAATGTTGATTTTGAAGTGTCATATTTGCATTTAGTTTGAATCTTGTAACATGTTATTTGAATGAAGCTTCTCAAGTCTTGTACGTTTCTTCCAACTGAAAAGATTTTAATGTACAGTCCCCTTTTGTTGTTGTCCAATTGAAATACTGTAGTTCCTGATTTTTTCATGGTACTTTTATGTTTTTGCAGTTTTCTCAGTCACTTCTGTACCTTAGTTTGCCTACTTTCTTTTTTTCTGTACCTGATACCACATATATTTCCGTGAACACCTCTATTTTCCTCAGACCAAGAACTTTACTACATAAAGTGAATTATAGGGGGGATGCCCTTTTCCGTAGAGCGTAATCAGCCGTTTTAATTCAATGTAGAGCGTAGACGGACCGCTCTAATTCAGCCAGCTCTCAAAATTTAGCATAGAGCGTTGTCGGGATCCCCCCATGCAGCCTCCCTTACAGTAGCCTTGCTGTGTCCTTCAGTCTTCAGACTCCTTCCCCCGTACTATTAATGCTCCATCCCCAAGCTGTCCTTCCCCCTGCTATTAATGCTCCATCCCTAAGCCAAGCCAATCTTCCCTGCTGTTGTACAGGAGCGTAGAGCATTGTCGGGACCCCCCTATATGCTATATAGCCTTGCCTTGTCCTTCAGACTCCTTCCCCCTTGTTATTAATGCTCCATCCCCAAGCCGTCCTTTCCCCAGTTATTAATTCTCCATCCCCAAGCCAAGCCAATCTTCCCTGCTGTTGTACAATTCAGGAGCGTAGAGCGTTGTCGGGACCCCCCAATATAGCCTTGCCATGTCCTTCAGACTCCTTCCCCCTTGTTATTAATGCTCCATCCCCAAGCCGTCCTTCCCCCTGTTATTAATGCTCCATCCCCAAGCCAATCTTCCCTGCTGTTGTACAATTCACTACAGATCAAAGATCACCCATGTGACTCATCCACCCTCAATGCGGGAAATGCATCAATGCGTTCTTCCTTTGCCTTCCTCAATATAGGAAACAAGCCCAACCAGTTTCCTTAATCCAGCGGATACCCCGCACACGGAAAAAACAACCGCCAACTGTTGGATAGTTTCGGGTCAACTTTTCAACAAGGTGAGTTTTCGACAGAGATTCTGAATTCTGTTTCTAAAATCCAAGGTTTTAAGCTATTTAGAAACACAAGTAATGGAGACTTAGTGTCAAAACAAATCAGGAAATTGGGGACTTGCCTTGCATACAAAGTTGTTTTTTGTGTCACGTATGCAGGACCAAGGAGTGCCCTTTGGTTGTTTATTAGGCCACAGCAAGTAATTTTATGGATGACATCAGCACGCGCATTAAATTTCGTCTGATTTTGGAAGAAAAACAAAAAATTTTGTTGCCTTCTGACAGTGGTCAACATGCCGAAAATGGGCAAAGATGTCTGTTGCCATGCCGGAAGGTGGATGGCAGATAACTATGAAGAAAGGAGACAAGAAAAGGCTCTGATTTAATGTTTTGTTTCTTACTTTGATGCAGTGATATGTGATGTTGGCTGTGTATATGTGATGTTCCCACTGAATCAAAACCATTTGTACAATGATTGAGTTAAAATTTTAAATTGTAGGAACCTTGCTTTTTCCGCTCGCCTTGTTTTTTTTCGCCCGCTCGCATTAGATTTGGAGTCTGCGGAGGATGTCATCCATAAAATTTACTTGCTGTGGCCTAAAGTAGTGTCCTTTGGTTGTTTATTGGATGTGAAGTAAAAGAGGTTAATACAGTTGACTTCATTACTAGTGATTGACACTTGTCTGTCAAATCACTGGTGGTATAGATGGTGAACAAAACATTTGACAGAAATGATGACATCTCATCAATTACCATGTCTTTGTTAGTTGTCATTGTCATTGTTATGATGTTTGACAGTTTTCTGACAATAACTGTTCAATTGACAGTTTTCTCTCCATTGACTTTTCATAAAAACTTGAGTCTTTTTAATGAAGTTATTTGGGTATCAACTATCTATTGAGTCTAGTTGGAGTAAATGTCTTGATTCCCTGTATCCAATACAAGTTTTATGCCTGTAGGCTATCTCACGATTTTAAGTAAAATGTAATTCCAACGGACAGATTGGTGCAGAATAAAGCCAGAGGTTAATTTGAGATGACCTAATAATTTTCAGCTGTCCAGAAATGTTCAGTGTCAAATTGTGTAGCCTGGATGCCAGACTGTTTCCAGGGCCTAAATGGCTATACAGACAAAATCCTAGATGCTATAGGGCCAGCATGTCCTGTAGAAAATTTTACCACAGCCCTGGTATCCAAACTTATTAGGGGGCCTGCATACCCAGGCGTAATCAGGCCATTTTAGTCTTCGTAATCCGTAGGCAGCCTCCCACAAAATCAATGTAATTCATAATAGTACCTTAGCCGCAAAGCATAAAGTCGTAATCAGCTCTGAGACTTTAACATAATTTGTAATCGGCGGCGAAAATTTTGCCTAATTCGTAATCACTACCCCCCCATGTAGGCCCTCTTATTACAGCTGCCAAGTTTCATTCGCCCACTCTGCAAATATTATCCAAACTTATTATAGCTGCCAAAGTCATTTTAGAAAAGATGAAAGAAGTTTGGCAGCAATAACATGTTTGGATACTAGGCTAGAGGACGAAACAGGCTACTAGAGAAGAGGAGCTGGCCTGTGTAGGCCCTGGGAATAGTCTGGCAACCAGGCTATAAATTGTCAGACACTTGAGCAGAGCCTGTATAGGCCCCTGGAAACAGTCTGGCACCCAGGCTAGAAATTGTCAGGTCCTAAAGCAGAGGATCTAGTCTGTGAGACCCTGAAATCAGCCTGGTTTCCAGGCTTTAAATTATGAGGCCCTAGAGCAGAGTAACTAGCTTGTATGGCCCTGGAAACAGTCTGGTATCCAGGCTAGAAATTGTCTAGAGCAGAGGATCTAGCCTGTAAGGCCCTGGAAACTGTCTGGTATCCAGGCTTTAAAATTGTCAGACCCAGCAGAGTAGCTGGCTTGTCAGGCCCTGGAAACAGTCTGATATCCAGGCTACAAATTGGCTGGTGCAGAGGATCTAGCCTGTAAGGCCCTGGAAACTGTCTGGTACCCAGGCTTTAAATTGTCTGGCCCTAGAACAGAGGAAATAGCTTCTAGGGGCCTCTAAATAGCCTGGTTACCAGGCTATGGGATGGACAGATGCCACCCAACCCCCCCCCCCTCCCAATCCCTTGCCAGTTTGCGGATGTTTAGTCAGGATGTCTAAAAGTCCCTGATGTGTCCTTCTGCCAAATACATCAGGACATAAGGAGGAAGAAACACAGCTTTCCTGTTCCTGAAAACAGGGCACTGTGTTATGATACAGACGACTTGAAACCAGGCCAGTTGCTGAATCACTAAAAACAGGCCATTTCTTCTGAAAGAGGAAGTAACCAAATTGTGTGATTCAGCTGTTTTCTCAATTCTGCCCCTTGCCTACACTTTTCAGTATCAAGTTCATCTGTATTGGTAAATAGTGTTATAGAAAGTTGGATGGTTTCCAGCATAAAAGAATGACTCAACGAAATTTCTCTATCATTAGTCCATATTTCCTGCATAATGACGAAAGTCTAAATGCCTCTTTTCTGAGGGCCTGCATGGGGGGGGGGTGTTTATGAACTACGCAAAATTTGGCTGCCGATTACGAATTATGTAATAAGTCTCAGAGCTGAATACAGCTTTATGATTTCCGGCAAATGTACTATTACGATTTACATTGATTTTTGCGGAGGCTGCCTACGGATTATGAAGACTAAAAAGGCCTGATTACGCCTTACGAAAAAGGGCATGCAGGCCCTTGTTTAGGTCTGCTTTTGGTTGGTTCAGACATGTGACATTTTGTGACCTGTGTTCGGTGGGGATACTTTAAACCACAGGCGCGGTCCTCTGTGGTAGAAGGATTGCGACTTCTTAGGATTCCTGCCTTCAAAACACATCTTTAGCATATCTTCATTTATTCCATGAAATGTTGTGGAAAACCTTAAACCCTTCTTGGTCCCAATTATGTCTTGTAAACTTTGAAACAGTAAAAAATTCATCATGAAAGTTTATCTATGTTGGTAACAATCATAGTAAAATATTTATTCCAACTTTATAAAGTTCAACATTTTACAATAAAAATCTAGTAACTTAAAGGCATCCAATGCAATTTCAGGGCGGCAAAACTGGAAATATCCTGAATAAGGCAATCTTTGTGATATTGACACATACTGCCCCACATTAGCACATTTGAGTCAGTATTTCATACTTGAGCATTTAAAACTGCAGAAACAAGCCCCAAGATGAGTCCTTTATTTTCTGGGTGGTACCCTAAAAATCAGCCCAGGTCCTTCCAGTAACAGTTTTTTTTGTCAGACTTTTGGGCATTTTTGCTCCATAATCGTCAATATACATTCGGACAGTGTTGTTTCAACTCAGTATGTAGATAAGTGACTAGAATATTGACTTTTAAAAATCTGGTTTCCAAGCTCTAAAAACTGCACTGGATGCCTTTAAACTTTAGAACTATAACTCAACGATGCCTACAAAGATGAAGAGAAAGATATCACCATACTATAATTAGCTGCAGTTTGCTGATTCTACCAGTTTTAATCACTCTTTGTTTGGACCCTTGATGTTTTATGTCAGCGTGACTGCCATTTACCAAGCTTGAAGGTCAAATATTTTCCAGTACGTGGGAGACATGTAAATGTGGATGTCTGGAGAGATTCTTAAATAAATATCCTCTCTCGCGAGGAAGGGCCCACTTGTTAAGACAGGACCACTCGCTTCCGTTGCCTGTTTACTGTAGTTTGTGAGTTAGGTGCCGCCGTTTTAGGCCACACCAATTTAATTTCTTGGTTAACAGATTTTTCTAGAAAAATAATGGAGCGGGTGGGCAAAAAAATAAAAACAGGTCTAGGCATCCTATTATGGCCCAAAATGGTACGATAGGAGCCACGAAGTCAACACACCAGGCTGGTTCAAAATTTAAACAATAAATTTTGAACTTTTAATGATACTACTGAATTGAAAGATGGAAAAACTGTAACAACTAGGAAGAAAAGGACTATTTTCAACTGTTCTGGACTTCTGGGCAAAATATGAGCATTTTGCAGTTGATTCTGAATTTTTTTTTTTTTTGCAAATCAGAAAAAAATGAAGTGGGCGAATCTGTTAACCAAGAAATTAAATTGGTGTGGCCTTAGGTCTGGAAAGTTGCAGAAAAAACAAAATGTCAGCTTTTTTATGTCTTGACAGTCTGGGAATTTCTTTGAAGGTCATGTGCATGTAAATTTTGGCTTTAGAGCAAGTAATTATGTCATATTGAGTTTAACGTTAAAGATATCACTTGTAGTTTTTACTGATATCAAAAGAATCTAGCCTTCAAAAACCAATGTCTATTTAGAATACAGTGAAACCTGTACAAGTGACCACCTTCTACATATTATCGGACCACCTGGCCAATTTGACCACTTTTCTGTGGTCCCCTAGATGATTTTCCCCAATCATTTATAAATCATTTATTAAAAGTCCTGTCTATAGTGACCACGGCACCTGTCCACGTAAACTAGATTTTATCGGTCACTCAAGTAGTCTTCTTGGTCAGTTTTGACCATAATATATTTGCAGGGCTCGAAATTCATTTTTGGGAATAGGTGCATTGGTGCATCCAACTTAAAAATTTAGGTGCACAGAAAATTTTTGGGTGCACCATATAAAACCTAATTTACAGATCTTACTGCTCCTCTTCTGAGCTTGAACCTGAAATAGGAGCTAACTTCAAAGTCTTAAACCAGGGTTGGACAAGTCCCATTGCCCACTTGCCCAGGGCAAGTAAAAGTACTGTTCGGGCAAGTGAATATCCCCCTGTACTTGCCCGATTGGGAAAGTAAATTTTTGGGATGCAAAGGATACCCGCTATGGTGTTTGGAGCAAAATTACTCATGATTTGGCCATAATGATATTATATTAAGTCTCAAACCACCTTATTTTGATAACTCTAAAATGAAAATAGTTTTCTTGCTGGTAGTGAAAATGCATATAAAAATG